AGCTACAGGGAGCCAGTGTAGAGACTTTAAAACTGGTGTTATGTGCTCTGTCTTCCTGGTTTTAGTCAGAACTGAAGTTAGTAATGCAGTTATAGTAACGTATGTATTGTATGTTTACAGGTTAAGCTAAAGTTTCAACAAAATGCTGGAGAACTCTGATTTCATTCAGCCAATAAAGGCACGTTTTTAAGGTATGTTGTTTTGAGAATTTTCACTGTCAAAAATCTGACTTTGGATGATGTGAATTTTGATTTCTTTGTTTTACTGTAATGGATCAAAACTTTTCTAACTTTGTTTTAGAGCCTGTTGAACAACGACTCCAACTTTTCTGCTGTATTATGAAAAGATGTTATGGAAATGTACTTAGTGCCTCATGTTTCTTTCAACACCAACGCCCAGTCATATTTTTCTGAGCTTCTGTTAGGGTCTCCCTCACATTACAGTAACTATAATCTAAACTACTGAATGCAGAAGGCAATAATATCAGAACTTTCAGTTGTAAACAGTTACTTCTATGTTAAAATAATTTTCTGTTGGAGGCCGTTTCTGCTATATATTACAAAAAAACGACATTTCCAGGATGAAACGAGTCGTGACTCTGTTGCTCTTGACATTCTTTATGTGGGTGTAATTTCTGTGATTTTTGAGCTCAGGGCAGCTGTACTGTACTTCCTACAAAACTGCTGTATCTCTACCTGGAGATTAATTTTGAATACCATAAGTGAATGCTGCAGAAAAGAGCTATCGTGTTCTTAAATTGCATGCATCAAGCAAATTAACTAAATTTAAACCACTAGATGTCAATGTTGTTCAGGCTTTCATTGTGCAACATTTACTGTCTGATACTTCCCATAGTTTAAATTAATCTGCAGGCCCCATCATGTTGTAGGCACACTATAATACCCAGAGCTGTTTTCTCCAAATAGGACCAGCTGCCACATCAGAGAAGGTCAAGTTACCGAGTGACCAGAATGAAAAGATCTTCTCCTTGAGTTTCCTGAGAACAGCTCCAACAATATGTCACTCCTTTTGAACAGGATGTCAATGTGAAGTGTGTCTTTTAGTGTGTCTATGTTGGCGCTCACTGACCTTGCCAGCTCATGCTGTAGCTTTCTGTTGGTCCTGTGTCATTGCCTGGAGACAAGGACAATGGCCATCATTGCATGCTAAATCTGTTTGAGGCTTCAGGCAACGAGTGTCTTGGCTTTATGCTCCAATTTTGTTTTGCTCAATTAAGGAAATTTACAGATAAAACAGCAGACATGAGCCAAAGCCTAACCCGACCGGGGGCTGTCTCAGTAATAAATAAGCCAGTAGAGGAGTAATACTTATTGGGATTTTCAAAAAATACGTGGCCCAAAAGGGACAATTGTTCTGAAAATTGTAATAGTTTAAAGGAAGAAATCAATATTCTAGGAGACCTTCATATTTTAATTTGGGAGGGATTTTAGATGAAATGCTCAAGGGACAGATGCAGCTAATTAGAGGAAATAAGCGATGCAAGCCTGTCACTTTGCAAGGCTCATGGGAAAAGAATTATTAGTGCAAAAGAAGATTGAAAGGAATTGTTTTTGTTTTAATTTTTTTTGTCTTCGGACTGATTAATATGATTGCACCCACAGCTGTGCTTATCGCTGATATTTTCATCATAAGAAACAAGACGGATCAATTCACATTTCCCAAACTTTCTCCTCAGAAAATATGTCTAGTCATTAATTAGCTCTTGTTATCTAATTTAGCAAGTCGGAGGTAAATCTCACCATACGGTCAGAGCCTACAACAAAAAGTTTTCATGATGTAAGAAAGCAACAACTTTGATTCATCTTTCACAACTTTTTTATATCCTGTACATCCTGGGTGAAAAACAAATATTAGGGGAAAAAAATGTACAAAACATTACATAAATGTTCACATAAATGTTGTGAATCTGATCCTGTGGTGTTTTGGTGTTAATTTGTGCTTTGATATCACTTCTGAGTTCTTTATTGCTGTTTGAAATGTCTTGCTGAATAAATTTAATCACTTTGTGTTCATTATTTATTAGGGAAAGGTCTTACCATGTAGTCTGTTCCTTTGTGTTCAGTTTTCTTGTGTTCTGTCTTTGAACATTTTGTTGTTGTTCTGCTTGTATGATTCGAAATCAAGCTATGTGTTTAAATAGTAATTTACCAAATCAGTTTTTATTTGTGTACTGTCAAATAGTACAAACGTAAAAAAGTCAACATTATTTTACTTTAACTCATCGTCTTTTTGTAACCTCTGTGTCAACGTTAATTTATTTATGTTATTTATATTTATATGATGTTGATCAAAGTACTGTGCAATGAGATAAAATGAAGCAAAATGGAAAACAATAAGAACGAGAGAAAAACATTTAAATATAAAGTTAAATCAAAATACAAAAATATACAACAAACTATCATACAAGGCCCTCAGTCTCTGTGTAAATGCCACATGCCAAAGAATAGAAATTGGTCTAGAGGATTTACAAGTCATGAAAAGGTTAATTGTTCTAAAGATTAGGAGATCAAATAGTAAAAGCCAAATCACCTCTGAATTTTAGTTTGGACCTAGGAGCATTTGAAAGAAACTGGTTGACCAAAGTGCTCTTACTGGAGTGTGAATGTTAAGAAGATCACAGAGATATTATGGGGCTGAGGCTTTTAAAATATTAAAATGAAGAGATAAAATCCTGAAATCAATCCTAAAACAAACACAACGCCAATGACGAGAAGCCAGATGGGCTGCTGCATTTTTGATGTTTTTTAGGCAATGCAGATATGATTTATCTAACCCAATACGCAAGGCGTTACCACAAACCATCAGGGTAATAGTGTGAATCGACCTTTCAGGGGAGATATGACTTCACTATGGCAGTTTGTCTTAGTAGGAGAGAACTGGATTTCACAATAGCATTTATCTTTTTATGTATCAAAACCCAAATTCCTGGCAGCAAAATGACTGCATCAAGCTAAGAGCCAAGATTGTCAATGGTTATCCATTTCCCAAAGTTCATGACATCAGTCTCATTTTCATTTAATTTCAAGGAATTCATTTTCAGCCAGATTTCAATATCACTCAGGCAGTGCAAGGGTGACTGAAGTGAATTGACCCTGTCTTGCTTAATTTGCAGATTAATTTTGATATCATCAAAACAGTGTCTTAACAGTTTCTAAAAATGGCCCCCAAAGGAAATATGGGAAAGTTAAAAACAGAGGACTTGGCAGGTGCCCCAAGACACTTTTCCAAGTCAAAGGAGCCATAGAAGAAGGTCATTCTCCTAAATAAACACAAGAGCTGACTAACCTGAACTGACAGAACTGACTAACCTGAAGTAAAGCTAAGTTGTTCTTACTGGATTTTCCTGACTTTTCCATTTGTTAGCTGAAGACATAGTTTGCAAACCAGTTTCAAAGGATTGAAATGTTGTACAAAGGTATCAGTCAGGAGAAGGTTACATCCAACTTGATCACAATTATGTATAGACCATTTGCACAGTGGTGCCTGTCACCATTAACTGGAGAAAATATGATACAACATGGGCATTACGAAAACTTTGCATTTCTCCAGAACTGATGAAAAGACAGGCCTGCAAGTAGTCAAGGACTCTTCCAAGAGGCATCGCTGATTGGTTGAATTAATTTCCAACATGTAAAAACAATATTCTGTCTCCTCCATGTGTCTGGACTAAATAGTTAGAGGACTGAATTCTTGTCTTTTCAAGAAAACACCCAGATCTGGGTAAAATATAGTGCTGGCCCATAAAACGATTTAAATAATTTGCAAAGAAGCAGAAAATATCAATAGCAATGATCGAGGTAGACTTTGAAATACAACGAGAAAGACAATTCATGTTGTTGCACAGACAGTACCATCAATATTTACGCATTCATACAAGGTGGAGAAGAGATTGCAAACACCAGTATGCATTATTTTCTGGTAGTGCTTAAACATATTTACACTTTTAGACAGTAGTGAAAATGGCCCTTGTGACCCAATATGTTTATTGCTGGCAATGTTAAATTATTATTTCATAAAATCCTGCAATTCTTAAGGGAATTGTTTAGTTATTTCTATATTTTTTTATAAATAAGCCTTGTTTAGTTAATATATTATTATTTTAAAAAATTCTTAAATATTGGGGCAGATGTTATCTAGAAACAACACTTTTCATTTAAATCAAAATTATCAACACTGTTCAATACAGGGGGAAAAAAAATGCTGTGATAATTATAGTTTCAATACCTCCCACCTCTTGTGATTCTATGCCTTGAATAGGGGCTCAAACAACTTAATGACAGGATGGAGCAGGAGATGGATGGACTAACTGAGGTGGGAGTTGCTCTGGTCAGTCATCCTGAGCTGACAGGTGAAGCTCTTGATTTATTAATCTGTCTGTCCTTAACCCCCTGTAGTTATGAGATCATGACCAAAAGAAGTAGTTCCTAGATGTGGTTGAAATATCATTCTTTTGTAGGAGCTCCTCGTCTTAAAAAGATAAAAAGAAAAGCTCTATCATCTAGAAGACGTTCAGAACTGAGCCACCACTTCTCTCCATCTAAAGGGGTCAGCTAAGGTGACCTGCACATCTACTCCAGGTTATTTAACTTTGAGAGGGGGGGGGGAGAGGAGTCAAGCACAAGCCATAAGGAGGAGACCCTGGGTAGCACCCAGACGTTATAGGAAGGAATATACAGCTCTACCTAATTAAATTAGATTAGCTTTTAAATTATATGCTACTTTAGTATTTCAACTGAAAAGTTTACAACTGGAATGTTGTATTGAAAAGTGCGTCATATATGCCACGGTCAGTACAACACTTCTGTTGGCATTATGACTGCATGCTAAGTAATGCTAGTAAAGGGAATCAGCACCTCTATAAAATTTGTCAGCAGAAAAATAATGATACTGACAAGGAGTCAAGCAACTTTTCTCTTTAGTCACTCTGGGGTAGAGCTGCTTCCTTTCTTGTTCACTTTTTGAAAGTAAAAAGCAAAATTTACTGTCGTCTGAAAAGAGAGCGTAGGAAGTTAATTTTCTCCTGAGTCCATACAAGATGTTTCTGGCAAAATTGGTTCAGGACAGTTGCAGCCCATGCTCTGCATCTGCCTGAGTGTGGTGGCTCTTGAAACACTTAACTCCAGCTACAGTTCACACCTTGTGAAGCTCCTCAAAAGCTCTTGAATTGGCTCCTTAACACAATCCACTTGAAAAAGCAGTTTCCCGTGCGGCTTTCGAACATTTCTGCACAACATTTTTCCTCCTATGTTGAGTAGATGCCCACAGTTTGGGAGCATGTCATTCCCAGGATTGTGTAATAATGGGATTTTGTAGCTGGAAAATGCCTCAGGTGGATCCTCCAGGGGAAGTTGTAGAATTTAATTGAGGAAAAGGATATTTGGATTTCTCCGATTCCTCTAACATCCAATTTTTGGAGAACAGATGTTTGTAGGTATGTTAACAGCTTAAAGAGTTTTATGGTCCAAAAAATGTTCAACAATTCTGACCTTTTCTGTTATTTTACTAATAGCAAATTTTGTTGCGTAAAACAAGAAATTTGGTGAAAGTGGTTGCGACTTAGAGGAAGTCATTTATTTTTCTAATGAGCTATTGCTATTTTAGGAGAAACAAAGCAATTCACAACGTTTTGTTACTGCCACCTGCTGGAGAAGTCTCATTTGTTTTGCATTGTCACTTTTGATTCCTGTTTGAGTTGATGAATAGATGGCTATTTATGTTCTTAAAAACAATACCCAATACCCAGAATTGGGCTCAGAGACTGAAATTTTCTTTGACTCCACACATTTCAACACATTTCACAGCATACGGGTCTTTGTTTAGGCATAGCAAAAATATTTAATTGTATTTCAGCACATGATTTTGCAAATGAATGCAATTTGTCTGCCTGTTTACCATCCATTGTAATGCTACAGCCAAACAATGATGGCGTCAAACCAGATTAATTAAATGACTCCATGCAAATTTGCAATATGTATCAGTATTCACAATATTGGAGTTTATGTAATACTGCCTAATGAAAAACATTCACAGGTCACTGATTCTATAAAGGGGAAATGCGACCAAATCAACATGAAACGAGATGCCAACTTTTGTCTGCCCCTGAAGTTAGAAGAGAAGCACTTGATGTATATTTGGTGTGTGATTTTTCATGTGTGAAACCATAAAGCTCGGCAGAGTTAACAATGGAAATGAGAAAAAGAAAAAACACATGAACTTGCTGATAATTTATTCAAGCATGGGAACTCATATGAACAGGGGAGGCTGGAAGAAGAACTTCAGGCTCCTCAGTGATCTGACGTCCCACAGTGTGGCGTAGATGATTCTCCCACCACATCGCGCAGGAAAACAAAGACCAGCAGACACATGGAAGAGGTGTAAATGAGTTACTCAGTAGCTCAGTAAACCGCATTAGTCTTTGTGCAATGCATGTGGTGTTTCTGTGCTGCTTAGAATTGCTGTCTGGGTTTGCTGAAAGACAGACTGCCACGTAGGCAAATAAAAACATCCTTATTTGTAATAAACCCTTTTCTGAGCCAAAGCCGTCAGGCAGCAGAAACGGGTAGTTACTGTAAACCACAAATGGCAGCTACAAACCAAAAATGCTGGATATTATTTGCTTCCTGGTCTCAGTCATAGAAGAAACACAAAGACTACTTGATATTTTTGCTTGACTCAAATAGAACTAATGAATAAGCATACACAGAAAAAATAATCAAATCACGCCAGTGTATTTCTCAGTAAATACGCCAGTTTGCATGAAATTCTCACCTGATGGGGGTAGCACTCAAGTTATCCACACATGCTTAGGCATCCTCACAAATGAGTTCATAAACTAAGTTATGATTAAGAAAGTGGAATGACATAAGGAATAAGCTTCAACCATGTGAAGAGAGGGAGGGGAGAAAAAGAGAAAGAGTCTTGGAATTGCCAATACCAAAAAATAATTTTCTACTAAGAATTTCGTACATCATATGTAAGTAAATGTGTGCAATGTATGTTTACTGACAAAAGAGTGATGTGTTCAATATCCATTCTCCCCTTTTACATTTCAGTGTACAATTTTACAGTGCAGCTCCAAAAGACTGCTACAATTCCTTTGTGTATTTCCACGTAAAGTTAGATATGCTAATCCCTTTAGATCACTTCTATTTTTCAATAATGTTTGAACATTTAAAAATAGATGGCACTTTCTGACCCTTATTCCAAATATGAGCACAGAAAGACAAAGAAAAAAGGATATTTTTCTGTATTAATATTAGAAATGCTAGTTTGATGTGTTAATTCAAAATGACAGAGATGCAGGTTGTTTACCTCACAAAGCGTTTACATGACAAAAACAGTCTCCACTACAAATATTGTTTTATAGAAACAATTATGTATTTTTTAAAGTGTTATTTAAATAAAATATAATTTGATGTGATTTTTGTTTTTAAAGGAAGTTTTGAAATTTCCAAGTGTTCAGTGAAGTACTCAGAAAAGACCGGAGAATGAAAGACAGTTTGTAGGTTTTCAAGTTGCTAAGCGCCTCATACGGACTGATAGGAGTGAACTACTTTCTATGAAATTCTTTGCGCGGTTTCTTTCTTCAAGACTGGCCTCCTGTGCTGCTGTCCTTTTCGGTGAGTAAAATTAATAATAACGAAATGGTGACACAAAGAAACCGCCAACAGGTAGTGGCCTAGATTAGCTACAAGTAGCAGCTAAACTAGGTCTTCCTTCTGTGATGCAAAGAACTGCTTTATTTCTTTAACACGTACACATGTTTTAAGACGTGTATTTTGGTAAATGAATATTGCAGCAGGTGTTGTGCGCTGAAAACTGAGTGAGGTTAATTTTCTATTTAGCTTAAGTCACAGTATTGTGTTTAGAAGTGTTTCTGTATTCACAACTCACTTTATTGGGCTCACCTGTTGCCATAATTAGTGAGAATTTCGGCATGCAGATGTGGTGAAAACGACTTCCTGAAGATCAAACCCAGCTCAAGAATGAGGAATAATAGGGCTAATTGTGACTATGTTGGATTGTGTTGAGAAATTGATCATATAAATGGGATTTCCATGTGCTGCCGTCTTTTAGGTTTACAGAAAATGGTGTACAAAAGAGAAAATATGACTTGGAAAAATCCCTTGTTGATATTAGAGATCAGAGAGGATTTTGGAGACTAACAATATAGATATCAAAGTTTGCTGAAAACCATCTCTAAAAGCTCAAAACAAGAAGCAGAGGGGCTGCAACAGCAGGAGATCTCACCGGGTTCCACTCCTATCAGCTAAGAACAGGTAACTGAGCCAACAGTTCACACGGGTTCACCAAAATTTGACAATAAGACTGGGAAATCATTGCCTTGTCTGACAAATCTTGACGTCAGCTTCAGTGTTAAGATGGTTTGATGAGAATCAAAGATAACAGGAAAGCATGGATCCATTCTACCTTGTCTCAACAGTTCAGTGGTGTAAGGATGTGGAAGATAATTTCTTTTCACGCTCTGGCCCCGTTGGCACCAGTTTGACATTGCTTAAACCAAATAGCAGACCAGAATATTGTTCCTGACCATATCTCTCAGTTGAATGGACGACGTGAATGATTATGACAGTCGTTAGGGCAAACCTTACAAAATGGTCCGATTGTGTTTTATGGATTTTAAAAAAAAAATAAATAAAAAAATGTACGTCATTTTTTTAAGTAGGAAACTCAAAAAGAATTTTGGCTAATTTTATGCTGCTTTGTATGTGATTTTAATTTAATTTTTAATTAACTCTGAATAGAAAGATCAACGTTGAACTTCGTTTGAAGAAGCCAAGACCCCATCAAACTACATGGTTCCTGACTGTGAAGCAGATCCTACTCTACCTGGGATCTGCAACATCTTCTAACAGGTAGTACATACCGCAATTAAATGTAGTATTTAGATTTTGTAGTACAATCTTTGTGGACAATCGTTACCAGGTGGACAAATGTTCTGAAAATGTTCGAAATGTTGCAACTTTGGTCCCCAATCAAACTGAGTCTTACTATTGGGTGTAAAAACACCTTAAGGCATCTTTACCAGTTCACATATGCTATGTAACATATAACAGCTTTCTTGTTTATTTTGGTATGTTGTAAATAGTTACTAAATTGCATAAAATTTACACAACAAATAAACCTCTGTATTCGGTGTCACTCAGAAAGCTCTGATCCAAAAATAACCACTTATGAGATCTCCTTAATACAAACGTAATTGATCGAACTCTGTCTGTATGAATAAATTGAGCTTAAAATTGGTGCTTTAAATTTAACCTATATTGTCTTAGAATTTTCCCATGTGTAATTATGGGAAAATTAGACAATATTACTGGTCTAAGTAATGAGCCCAGTGGAACTCCATATGTAACTAATGTGAGTGAGGAAGATTCTTAACTCACAAATACACTGGAACCTGTGAGATAAACATCACTAATTGTGTTTTTAGTCATTAAATGTGTTGTATACATTGAGAAAAGAACATTGCACAGCTTTCTTTAAAACCCAAAGTGTTTAGTGTTGGCATACAGGCATTGTTTTAATAGATGTTGTTTAAAGATTTATGTATTTGTATTTTACATACAAATAAATAATACAATAAAATAGTACAATAAAATAATAATAATAATAATTATACATACAAATAAAACACCCGACTTTTTAGAAGAAAAATACATTTAATAAAAAATTACTACTACATTAAGACCCCATGTTAAGATTATTATTGTTCAGGCATTCTGTTACCTTGAATCTGACAATAGAGCTTGATTTTTGGGTCCAACGACTCTATGGCCTTTTCACTGGAGCATGGGTGTTATTTTTACCGTCTAAGGATTGGACTTGTTGTCTGAGGAACCAACAAGGCTCCTCGCACAGGTATACACATGACTATGTCACATTTTGATTTTGAAATGGCCAGTAAAGAAGCTTATTGCTTTCATGTGGTCCTAAAATGTAGTTTTACCCTGTAATCCAGTTTTAACAAAATCCCAGTCATTTCTTGATTTTTCTCTAAGATGTGGCTGAAGGCTGGTGTGGCTAAGATAAGAACTGATCTCCAGCTGCTGGCAGAGAGATACAGGAGCAGGTGATCAGATGTGATATAATAAGCAGCAGAGCAAAGTGCTTGGTTGTGCAGCTTTTTACACAATATAGCACATAGAAGCCAGTTTAAGGAATCAGAAATACAAAGAAGTAGGGAAAAAGAAGCGCATATAATGCTTGGAGAATGGCTCATTGAAAATAGCAACTTTCTCTATTTTGAGTGACTAAAGCAGATTAACATAAACTATTTTCCAGCCTGTCGTATGCTAGACATTATGAAGCAGACTGAGAGCTTCCCTAATGGACCACCGTTTCTTTTGTTTTGTGAAATGTTTTTACTTTACCTGCTTTAAAATAAGACTCACTAGCCCATCATTCGTTAACGCAACCTGGTGGTTCAGGCCAAAGAAAATAAGGTGTAAAATGATTTTCCTGTTCTACAGGGTTTATAGTTTAGGCTGATGCAGTCAGAATGCTGAGTGGTGGAGCTGTTTTTGTGGTGTTGAGGGATTTTTTACCTATTGGTTTGCTCTAACAGTGGAATTCCATCCTATCACACTCCTGCATGTCGGCACTTGTCGTTTGTCTTGATTAGCTGTCTTTGGGATGATATCTTGCCCCTGGGTGAAAAAAACACCACTTCATAAACCAAAAATGGAAGAAAAAAACGTGTTGGTGAATCCAGTCAATACAATAGTAAAACATACAAAACATGCACATATTTTTCTTCTCTGCTGTTAGGAGATGTTTTGTCTGGCAGTTCTAGAAGACAGTAGCAAAAAAGATGAACATTTTAGTACAATATGATTTAGTCTTAGTTACATCACATCTACAATTGTAAGGGCATTCTGAGAGAAATGACTGATAATTAGGTGAATAACAGAAACTACAGTGTGTAGGACGGCAAGCGTACTGTATACCTTTAGTTTGTTAATGTTTCAGATTGAATAGTTGCAATATCAAAATAGTTTTCCTAGGTTTTGAGATGATGAAATTAAAATCAAGAGACTGTAAACGGTTATCTTCATTGTGTGTTTGAAAAAAATGGTGGAAGAAAAAGAAACTGACAGAGAAGAAGCCGCTGAACAAGCTGAAGAGTTGGGTCTTTGCCAAGAAACAAACCAATTAACTACCATTAAATAAAAGAAGAGTGGTCAAATACCCAGCTAGAATTATTGCTGATGTCAACGGAAATTATATACTATCTGTGAAGCTTTCTAAATGACATTTATCTAAATATGTCTCATTAAAGTTGTATCATTTTCCTGCAAAAAGGGGCCAGGGTAAAAATTTGTTTCCAAGCTAATACAAACTTTGTAAAGTTCTGAATTACACTATATTAGAACTAGAGATCTAGCTAAACATGTTGTTTTGTTTAATATTTATAAGGACAAAGAAACTGCTGACAATACAATTTACCACAGCTATGGAAAGCATCATATGTTTGTCAAATAAAGACTTTAAAACACTGGGTTTTATACAAGCTCGGATTCAGAATTTCAACATTTTCCCATTGCTCTGCCACTATTCCAACAAAGGTTCCCCAGCAGGGAAAAATATATTATAAAACAGGGGTCACCAACTCCAGTCCTCAAGGGCTACCATCCTGCAACTTTTAGATTCACCTCTGCTCCAAAATGTCTGAATTCCCTCACCAGCATTCATTCCTCTCTGCAATAGGCTGGAAACGAGCAGTTTATTTGATCCAGGTGTGTTTGAGCACAGGATGGTAGCCCTCGAGGACTGGAGTTGGTGACCCCTGTTATAAAATATGATAGACATATTTAGGTAAAACATTTTGGGAATGAAGACGATAAGTTTTAAACTTTCTAAGTTGTTCAGTTTTGATATTAACTGGATGTAGACAAAATAGCCTTTATAAATTGGGTTATACTACTGTACAGTACAAACTACGTAGCATTCCTCAAAATTGTCTTAATTCATTAGTGGAAGTCCAGAAAAAAAAGGCAACAATGTTGTACAAGGTATAATTAAAGTATTTCTTTGGAAAGAAAGACATACCAACTGCGGGTCACATTATTGCTGTGTGATGAAACAGTGTCATAACTGCTGATTACAATAAGTGCGGTTCGCCAGAGTATGAGGGGATGCATGTGCCGCTAGGTTTCTAATCGTTCCGGTTGTCGTCACATGGGGACTGTTTGCTCCTGATGAAAATTGAGGTAAATCAATTTTCCATTTTCTTTCAGGACTTCACTTCAATCTGGTGTCAAGCTAATGACAGCATGAGCCCCTGGGACAGGAGTCATTCATCAGAGGCATTTAAAAGCAAACACAGCGCTGGTTTCTTTCTTGCTGCTCATTAGTTCAAACAAAATTACCTCTGAGGAGAGCTGCTTGCAGCTATCATGTTCTTCTCTGTGAGGTGCAGGGTTTTTTATTCCCCACAAGAGCTGAGGGGAATAAAATTGTGAATTACATAGAAGACATGAGAATATATTGATGTCATTTATTAACTTTTCTTATATTGAAGTCGAATCAACGTCAACATTTTGTCTCCTTAAGCTGAATAATTCATTTTTAAAGGATAAATACAAACGGTAGATGGATGGATGGATGGATGGATGGATAGGTAAAGGCAGGCTGAAAGATTGATGATAGAAAATTAGTAGATGTGTTGTTTGGGGAAGACAGATGGATGGATGAATAAGTGGATGGTTGAATGACTGATAAACAGATACATGGATAGGTGGGGAAAAAAATTAACTTGTGGGTGAGTACAACTTTTAGAGAAGTCTGGAAATACAAGCTTCTTTCTGTGCTATTTTTTTTTTTTACTTTACACTTTTAGACCAGAAGGAAAACCTATGAATTTTTATATTGACTGTATAAAACTAATTTATCTCCATGAATCATGTTGGAGAGAATATTTTGAATCTGTTAACCTTTAACATGAGGTCAAAGACAAAAGTGGTTATTTTCTTGGATTACCGGAGAAGTCATTCAGTAATTTCTATGAACACAGTTCTTTTGTATGTGTAATGGAGACAGAGTAGTAAGAGGACTTTGTTATAAAGGAGAGAGACGCAGTGGGGTACTCTTTGAAAGGAAAATCCATTGTAATTTCATCAACCTTTGGGTCAAAATTCAGGCAAACTTTGCAACCAGTGAACAGCTCTGCACTGCCATGTTTGATTTAGGTCTCTGCTTGACATGCAAGGCCATTACACAAAACTCACAATAAAATAGGTTCTCATTTAACCAAAACGGATAGATGTGTTTGGGCACAGGAAATTGGGAGGTAAATTATAGATTCATAATGGTTTTGTCGCTGCTTTATTGGCTTTAGGCTACCCTGCAGCTCCAGCCCTGTAAACCACGTCAGACAAGCTCCCATGTTGAGCAGAAAAGTCGGAATAAGCCTCACATTATCCTTCCTTCACTGCCTGGAACCTTCTGGATCACCGGGAATGCATCATGAAGGAACCCGATATAGAGATTAGCTCCCTGAGAGGCAAGTAGGGTCGGCTGCACCATATACTGCTCAATACTACAGTTCTGAACAAAATTCAGCTCAAAAGGGAAAAGTACTGTTGGAATTAAAACTGAAACATCATATTTTTTCCTTTACTCTGTAAAGTTTTTGGCAGCATTTAGAAAGCAATTGAGGGCATGATACAGACACACCTGATTCATGTGATGTATTATATCATCAACGTGTCATTAAGTGCCAGAAAATCCGCTCAAATATCCACGTAATTTAAGTCAAGTTTGTGGCATCAGAGAAACACAACAGGGACTCCTGAACACCAGGAGAAACATATTGTCAAAGTTGTGAAACCAAAAGGAATCCATCCCAGTTCCTAAT